GTTACCACCTGCTTGATTCTCAGGCAATTTTAGTTCACTTATGCTGGGTGATAGGGAATCTGAGAGAGAGAGGGTCCTTCACTCTACTGAGTTCCCCATAGGCTGTTCCCACAGCCCTAAGATACACTGTGCTCTTGGCCTGTACCTGTTTTGTTCATCCAGATATTTTTTTTATATGACGGATTTTTGCGTCTGCCCCGCTAATGTCTGAGCAGCTTTTCGCTGTGGTTTTAGCTCTTGTCCTCGAAGGACTGGCGTAGCCCACGGAGCTGTTCCCCTCCCAGGGCAGGAACAGGAGAAGGAGAAAGCCTGGCAGCTCTGACAAGCCTTGTCAAATCCACATTCCCAGAGGGGCCTCCTGCCCATTAGGAGGCTGATTGCTCACAGGGGAGCCTCCTGGATTCCAACAGAGACAAGATCAAGGCCTAGTGCACCGCCAGAACACCGGGCCTCCCTTCCCTTGACCAACACACTTTGACAGAATGGCTTGTCAACAAATAGGCCTGGAGTAGGAAGATAAAGAATTGTCATTTAGAAATAAACGCCGTGGGGCTTCCCTGGTGGTGCAGTGGTTGAGAGTCCGCCTGCCGATGCAGGGGACACGGGTTCGTGCCCCGGTCCGGGAAGATCCCACATGCCGCGGAGCGGCTGGGCCCATGAGCCATGGCCGTTGAGCCTGCGCTCCGCAACGGGAGAGGCCACAACAGTGAGAGGCCCATGTACCACAAAAAAAAAAAAAAAGAAAGAAAGAAACACCATGATTTCTCTTCACAATTTGTAACCTCTTTTCCAACTCTTTTCCTCCGCCTCTCCCTCTTCCCCACGCTTTTGCACACAAGCAGAAAATGTGCCTATGGGTCTCATGCTGGGTGCTTGTGCCCTGGAGTTTACTCCTGCTGGGGGCTTCTTGCTCCTTACCTTCCTAAACAGCTCTTTCCCTGCTTAAAAAAAAAAAATCTCAACGCAGTGTGAAAGCATGTCAGAGGCAAATTGAAACACCCATCGCATGTATCTCTGAAATGGGCAAGAGATATCTTCAATTCCTCCCTCTTTGCTTGGCAGGCCGTGGTCACCATTCCTTGAGCGTTTGGCAATTTTTAATTTAAATCCTTTATGTTTAATACATTTCCAGGAACTCTTGTTCACTCGGCTACTCATCTCTCAGGTCTCATGCCCTGCCCCCAGTACACTCTTGTATTATTCTGTATCCTCCCCCAACTCTCACCCCCAACCCCATCAGAGTGCTCACCACCTCGAGCTGCTCTTGGCTGTTTGCTTGTTTCTATGCCCCATAAAACTTCACACTTCACGGGGGCAGAGACTGTGTCTATCTTGTTCATTGTTGGATGCCATTCACTAGCATTGGGCTTGGCACGCAAGGGATGCTCCATAAATATTTGCTGAACGGATGCATGAATGAATGTGTGCTTTGCTATGCATAAGACACGGTGCCAAGTTCCTGCAGAACTGACCCTGATTTCAAAAAATTATTATGTGGTAGGACAAACGAGACCCAAGTGCACAAATCCTGGTAATAAATTGTGGAGTAAGAGAACTGCCACAAGAGAGAGTAAAACAATCTTCTGTAGTGGTGGAAAGGCAAGCGGGGACAAGGAAAATTTGTTTGGAGGATGCGGAGATTAGGTTGGGCTTTGAAGGATGGTTGCAGTCTTGACAGACCTAAATGGGGCAGAATGGAGGCTTGGGGGAGAAGTCGGATGTGATGGGAATTTGTCATTTGGGGCCATCCAGATCCATTCACCCTATTTTTTTTTTTTTGGCTGTACCACATGGCATGCAGGATCTTAGTTCCTCGACCAGGGATTGAACCTGTGCCCCCTGCAGTGGAAGCACGGAGTCTTAACAACTGGACCGCCAGGGAAATCCCCACCCTACATTTTGATAATAGCTCTTGGCTTTCTTTTGGATGTCCACCCCTGATGCCTTTCACTGGTCCAGCTGGGCTGATGCCTTGGAGGTGGCAGGGGAGCAGGCCTGGCCAGTGGGGCTCAAGACTAAAGATGAAAGAAGAGTGAACAGATACTTCAGAAAAGAAGAGACAGCAATGGCAAATAAGGAGATGAAAATATGCTTGACATTGTTAGTCATCAGGGAAATGGAAATTAAAGCCAGTGAGGTACCACCATGCATCTACCATAATGTAAACAATTAGAAGTCAGTAATACCAAATGCTGGAGAGTATGTGGGACAACCGGAACTTTCATACTTTCATACCTTGCTGATGGGAGAACAAAATGGTACAATCAGTTTGGAAAACTGTTTTCATATATAGAACCCAGCAAGTCTTCTCTTCCTCTTTTAGAGATTTACTCAAAAGAAATAAAAGCATAAATCTACAAGAAATCGGAAACAAGCCAAATGTCAACTAACAGGGAAATGGGTAAACAAAATGTGTTATAACCATTCATTGGAATACTACTCAGCAAGTAAAAAGGAATCCAACAACTTGGGTGAATGTGAAAAACATTATTTTGAGAGAAAGAAGCCACATACAAGAGATTACACACTTGATCTCATTTATATGAAGTTTAAGAACAGACAAAACTAATTTAAGGAGATAGAAATCAGAACAGCGGTTGCTATTGGGCAGAGAGGTAGATTAATAAGAAAGGGGCACAGAGGACTCTTTTTGGATATTGGTATATATATTTGTCAAAACTCATTGACTGTACATTTAAAATCTGTGCACTTTATTGTAGGTAAATAACACTGCAATTTTTAAAAAGCCAGAACATTTAGCAAAAGTTAAAAGAAGAAAAATATTTTAATAGTTCTACCACCCAAAGAAAATCACTATTGATGTTTGGCATAGTTGCTCCTAATATATTTTAATCTTTTTTTTTTTTTTTTCGGCCGCGCTGCATGCCTTGTGGGATTTTTCTTCCCCAATCAGGGATTGAACCTGGGCCCTCGGCAGTGAGAGCCCAGAGTCCTAACCACTGGACCACCAGGAAATTCCCCCCTTCTTATATATATATATATATTTTAAATAGATTTATTTATTTTAAAATATTTATTTATTTATTTATTGTTTTTGGCTGCGTTGGGTCTTCATTGCTGTGTGTGGGCTTTCTCTAGTTGCGGCGAGTGGGAGCTACTCTTCATTGTGGTGCATGGGCTTCTCATTGCAGTGGCTTCTCTTGTTGCAGAGCACAGGCTCTAGGCACGCGGGCTTCATTAGTTGTGGTACGTGGGCTCAGTGGTTGTGGCGCATGGGCTTAGTTGCTCCATGGCGTGTGGGATCTTCCTGGACCCGGGCTCGAACCCGTGGCCCCTGAGTTGGCAGGCAGATTCTTAACCACTGCGCCACCAGGGAAGTCCTAAATAGATTTTATTTATTTATTTATCGGCTGCGTTGGGTCTTCATTGTTGTGCGTGGGCTTTCTCTAGTTGTGGCGAGCAGGAGCTACTCTTTGTAGCGGTGCGCGGGCTTCTCATTGCCATGGCTTCTCTTGTTGCAGAGCACAGGCTGTAGGCGCACAGCCTTCAGTAGTTATGGCGTGCAGGCTTCAGTATTTGTGGCATGCGGTCTCAGTAGTTGTGGCTCGCGGGCTCTAGAGCGCAGGCTGAGTAGTTGTGGTGGTTAGTTGCTCTGTGGCATGTGGGATCTTCCCGGACCAGGGCTCGAACCCATGTCCCCTGCATTGGCAGGCGGATTCTTAACCACTGCACTACCAGGGAAGCCCCCCCTTCTAATATTTTTAATTTACGTGTGCTTATTTTAAAAAGAGTTGTAACCAGATTTATATTTAACATTTGGTCCCCTTTTCAGTTAATGTTATATTGTAGGCATTTCTCACGTTATAATATGGATTTCAAAAAACACCATGAACGGCTGGACCGAGGTTCACTGTGTCCCCATTTCTGGCCTGCAGCAGTGTTCTCACCAAGTTATGTTCAGGTTTCTAGCTTGAGCCCCTGAATTTGCCTCATGACAAATTCTCAGAGAGAGACTAGATCAAAGAGAATGAGCGTCTTTATGTTTCTTTTTTTTTTTTTTTTTTGGCGGTACGCGGGCCTCTCACTGATGTGGCCTCTCCCGCGGCGGAGCACAGGTTCTGGACGCACAGGCTCAGCGGCCATGGCTCACGGGCCCAGCCGCTCCACGGCATGTGGGATCTTCCCGGACCGGGGCACGAACCCGTGTCCCCTGCATCGGCAGGCGGACTCTCAACCACTGCGCCACCAGGGAAGCCCCGTCTTTGTGTTTTTTGACACATATGTCATTTAAACATTAGTTTTAGTGTCTTAGGAAGATTCAAGCACATATGTACAGAGCTGAAACAGCGCACGTCAGTCCGTTTTGCAGTGTTTCAGTGGGTATTCTGTATTAGCCATAACCCAAATTCACTTCTGATCTCTGCTCTGCTTTGTTGTCTATACTGGAGTCATAGGGACACATGTCCAACCTGAAATGAATTATTCCCTGGCATGTGTGGAGAGAGTTCAAATACTGTCGATCTCATTTGAATTTGTGGAATTAAAAAATGTATATGTCAAGGCTGTTAGACTAGCGTTCCTGAGTCCCCACTGCCTAAGAGCTGGAGGCTTAGTAGCTCAGTGTGTAGCTTGACTCCCCTCTCACTGAAATGTCTTACCTCTGCTTCTGGTCCCATTCCTGGAAATGCTTGTGACCTTGGCTGGACCCTTTCTTGTCCAGGATCCTTTGGCTGCATGACTTGCGGCATCATGGGACTCCTCACGCCATAGCATCTGTGGAGAAGACTCTGGCCAAGGCCAGAAAGGGGAGGAGCCCACCGACCTGTTATTCAGTGTTAAACATGACCCAGAGGTTTCCTCGTTTAATTGACACAACTGCCCTCTGAGATGGGTGTTGTTCCTGTTTTACCCAAGAGGAAACTGAGGTCCAGAGAGTGAGGTAAGCTGCTTGCTGTAGAAATGGTTGTTCACGGAAGTGGTGTTTACGGTTTGAAGATAAAATAGCAAGTCATATCTTGCTCTCATTCCCCACTGTAGCAGCCCTTCCCTGGAAAGGCCCGAGGCTCTGTGTGGAAGGAGATAAGATGCCACAGCTTCCAGGAGACCTGCATTAGCCAGAGCGATGTCAGACACACTGTGTCCGGTGGGTATTTGAGAACAAAATATGTGTGGGGCAGGCTGAGACGTAGGTCGAATCAACACCAATCACTCATGGTGGCACCTTTCAGTCAAACTGTGTTTCCATTAAGATGGCCGGTTTCCCACTAAGTTACTTAAAGAAGAAGAGAAAACAGCTGACTCTGTGTTTTCCCCTTGAGCTGCCCCTTCACCATGAATGGATGTTTTCAGCAGGAAATTAGGATGACGGAGGATGTTGGAAAGTGTCAGGTCCAACTCGGAGAGGGAATGGACACACAGTGAGTTTGGTGACATTCCAGGTCTAGATTTTGGACTCTTTCTCTATCCCGTATTTTTCCCAGAAGAGGATTGAGTATCAGTGACCTCTGTGGACACCTGAGGTTTCGGGGGAGTGTTTCAGATTCCTCTATCAAATGATTTTTCTGCCTGATGTGTGGCTCCTCACCTAAGACATGCAGAGCTTCCTAACCTTTCTCGTTTGGAGGGACTCAATCAGAAAGGGAACCGTCGGTAAAGGCTGCTCTTGGCTGGAGGTGACACATCCCGGGACTCTGGCACTGTGGCTCCGCCTGGCTGCCCTGAGGTCTGAGGGTATCACCATCCCCACTGTGACCCAGGCTTTCCACACACTGATTGGGAAACTGGCTAAAGTACCAGCAGAAGCGTCGCACGTATGACCTTAGCCTTAGGGTAAATGGTTTTTGGTATAAATTCCAAGGGTAAACAGAAGTTAAAGGATATGTCTTTATAATCTCTCTGTCACTCTCATTCTCTCACACACTCTCTCTCTTTCTCATACATTAAATTGAAAAAACAAGTTTGAACTAATATCTTAGATTTATAATCTTTTCTTTATATTGATGGGAATACTGTCAAGTGGGGGGGGGGGGGAAGGGAGAGGGACAGAGACACAACCAGAAAGAGGAAGACAGATGGAGGAAGAAATTGCATTTCACCAGTAATATTCAGAATCACTCATCCATGGGTCATAAACCGTTGAAAAACTTCCTTGGAATTGTCTAGCCTTAAATAATTCTCTGGGTACTATTAACACAAATCTCGTAACTAAGCTGATTATGAAAATACATAACAACATGAAACAACGTATAAAGAAGGAATTTCGGTGTCAGTGAGATCTAGATATGAATCTCGGCTATGCCACTTATTAGTTCTGTGACCGTGGGACGCTGTTGAAACTTTCTGTAAAATGGGGATAATAATACCAACCTTATGAGGCTATTCTGTTAATGGAGTGAGCTAAGACCTGTGAAAGCATTCAGGGCATACATTTAACTGGATGCTTAACTCACATTGATTCTCTGCCTGGTAGCTTTATCCTAATATGGCCTCACGCTGCGGCACCAGCCTCACAGGGACACTTACAGTTTCTCTTGGCACTTCGGTAATTGCTACTAGTCTTTACAATGGTGTCCGGAGTAGATTCATCTCACCATGAATTTTATGGTTCAATGAAGTCTAACTTGACAATGTGAGAGGGTAGCAGGTGAAGGTGTCCTCTTTGTAAACGTAGGCAAAATACGTTGCTCTCATGAATGCATCTGTTCCTTTAGTATATTCATTCCCTGAATGAAAAGTGCCCAGAATGAAATATTGAATCTCATGACCATCCCATGAAGTAGGTAACGTTTGTCCCACGTTACAGACAGAGAATCTGAGGCTGGGAGATTAAGTGAAGTGTCTTGGGTGACTCTGCTAGTTAAGTGGCAGAGCTCGGATTCCAAGTAGGTTCCTCCTGACTCCAAAACCTCCCCATTGTCCGGGTTTATGGACACAGCGTATGAACACAACAAAATAACATCCATGATCCCAGTGACATTGCTTGGGAGTCGGATGTCGTCTTCCCTTCCACGTGCTCTTTGGGTACAAGGTTTGCCTGAAAGCTGAGTACTCAATCCACCTCTCTGATCTAAGTTAAAATGGAGGCTTGGAGCAAAAAGGAAGAAGGATGAGGTTCATAACATCACCCAGCTATCACCACTGTTAACATTTTGGCTCATACACATTTTAATTTTTTTTTTTTTTTGCGGTACGCGGGCCTCTCACTGTTGGGGCCTCTCCCGTTGCGCAGCACAGGCTCCGGACGCGCAGGCTCAGCGGCCATGGCTCACGGGCCCAGCTGCTCTGTGGCATGTGGGATCTTCCCGGACCGGGGCATGAACCCGTGTCCCCTGCATCGGCAGGCGGACTCTCAACCACTGCGCCACCAGGGAAGCCCCACATTTTAATTTTTAAAAAAAATTTTTGTTTTGTTTTGGAGGTTATTTTACCATTTATTAGCAGGAAGGAACGGGACAGTACGGATGCCAGAATCTTCTTACAAGGTTCTTACTTCTTGATCCATAGCTGGTTTTCTGACTCCATTTCAGAAAATCTTCCTGGTTGTCTCTTTTACTCCTCGGGGGCGAGGCTGTACCCAGGTCACACCCCTCTTCCCCACCTGATCAGGAATCATCCTCTTGGCTCACAAGAGATAGCCCTTCCTTGGCATCTCTGAGGACCTAAAGGCTGGAATTCCTACCTGCCCAGGAATCATTCCTCTGGACATTTCCTAGGAATGATCTCTTTTGTAAGCCATGGGAGTGTACAATAATATTTGAGAAAAATTCTATTTCAAACAGATTAAACATTTAAAAAGATTTGGCTTTAAAGGGATAGGTCTCGGATATCCGAAAAGTTTACTTATGTCAACCACCTAAAGCACCTCGTTCCCAAGTAAGGGGAGTTCATTCATGAGAATGGGAAACAAGCCAAGCTTTGTCTTCCAGGGAGGTCTCTGGAACCCTAGAGACCAGAGTGTGAAACCCCATTATAGGCCAAGATATATGAGGCGTGTTCCTTAACGGCTCCGTTGCTCCATCTTCAAAATGGGATGAAAATATGGACCTCGCAGAGGTTCTGCAAGGATTAAGTGAGGTGGCGTATGCTGAGATCTTACGGCATCCGGCCCCGGCAGCTGCTCAAAAGACAGTCTCCTCTAATCAGAGCAAGTAACGCAGAGGGCGAGACTGGCCATTCTCTCTTCCAGGAAACACTTGGGTCTAAGTGTCTGAAATGGTAATCGTTCGTTATTCGGCTGTGTGAGTTTTCAATTTGCTCTGTAGAGAGGACACGAGGAGTTCAACAGGAATACCGTTTTTAGCTGTTTTGGAGTTTTCCCTCTGTTTAACATCAAAGTGGTCTGCAGTCCACTTGGCCAGTTTATACATATTCTGTACTCAGAGAAAGCCTGGAGGACCTGAGCTGGTCGCCTGATTAGCTGTGACTCCCTTGCAGGCTGGCTTGGGAGACCAAATGGACTCTACCCGTTCAAGGTTTTAATGATAAGGGAGTGGAGGTTGGGTGAGGAGAAGCTCCTTCCCTTTTGGAAGGAGACTTTGTGGAGGACCCGCTAGTAAATCATTTGTTCCTTCCGAATGCACTCTCGTTCACATAGGCACAGACTCAGATGGTTCCCACTTGAAATTTCTCATCAAGTGCAAATAGCTCCCAGCCGGGAAGGCTGAGCTGCTTTCCAGTCCCTCTTTGTGAAGAGGCTCAGCTTGTGAGCAGCCCTGGGGACTCACGTGTGGGTGGACAGAGCCCGGGCCGCACAGGAAGCAAAGTCAAAGGCTCACTTTGTCCCCTCCCCACCCCACTGCAACGTCCACCCCCCGCCCCCCCCCCCCCCCCCCCCCCCCCCCCCCCCCCCCACCCCGACCATCCCATTCCCTCCTGCTCTCTTTCGCGCTCCGCTCTGAATTTCAGGACAGGAGAAACCCAGCAACAGCAAGGGTTTAGCAGTTGGACCTGCTCGCCCAATCCTTGAGAATCACCCTGAAGCCTGTTATGCAGGAAAAAAGCAACAGCAGGAAGGAACTTGGCCGGAGAGCTGGGCGTTGCCCTCACCTGCCCGAATCTAATTCTCCTGCTTCTCCTCCTGCCTGGCTGGGGAGAGCCGGGGGTGCCACATGGCCGCCTCCAGTTGGGCTCCCCTGGGTCTGCCTCCCTGCCCCTCCGTCCAGCCCGGTCCAGCCCAGTCCAGCGTGCTCCATGGGCTGAAGTCATTTGGAGCGCGCCGTACGGGTGTGCAGCCGGGATAACGGTGATTAATGCACGTGTCTGGTGGGGCCTTCAGGGTAATTCGAGTTGCTTGATATCTAGAGTGATCGCCCCTCCTTCCTGCCTGCTCCCTTTCTTTGCCTGAGTTTGTGGCAGCGTTTACCTTCGTTGGTGTTTTAAGGTAATGAATGACACTTGTTTCTGGTGTTTGTTTCCACCCAAGTTTTAATTAAATTTTGCACGAGGCTTCTGTAATTATGGATCTGGGTCTCTCTCCCTCATCTTTCCTCTCCAAAGTTACTCAGCGTTCAGAACTTTTCCCCAGGTTTCCTTTCTCTCCCCCTCACCATCTAACCCCCGTGCTGATGGGCCCCCTCCCTGCAGCCAGTACCTTTGGGTTCTGTGGTCTGTGATGCCAAAAGCCACATCCTGCTCTGATGGCTTCCATTAGGTTGGAGGAGGGAACAGGCTCCCAGAAAGGGGAGCTCGCTTGCTGGAGGAGATCCAGGCTTTGCCTTAGGTAATGAGACATCTGCAATCTCACCCCCTAAGCAGATGATACCGGGCCCGCCAGGAGGGTTCTGTCTCTATCACGAGTGAGGTGAAGCTGTGTTTCCTTGTTCTTTTCCTTTTTTCTTTCTAAGAGCTGTGTGGAGGGAGAAGCACCCTCTGTATGTTCCACCTGAGAGAATGCCCACACAGCCGAGACAGCAAGAGCGATGGAGTAATGGTCTAGGAAATAGACAAAGTGAACCAACCCAGGGCTGCTCTCTGCCTGCAAAGTGGAGATAAAATGAGAGCAAGTATGTCTGGTTCGACTTATGGTGGGTCCACAGTTCAGGCTAAGACGTAAACTGAATGTGCTTCTGAGGTTGCAAAAGTTGGCTATGTTTCTTCAGTTATTATCCACGTGCTTTTGTTTTGGTTTGCCTAACTCACTCTTAG